TGCAGCTCTTCCACTGTAGCTTCAGATATGGCTCAGTCAGTTTTTTGTCCTCAACTGTGAGGATGGCAGCAGGGTTCTCCTTTGCTCCTTTCATGCTGACCGCAGTCATGATGCCCACCTTTTTCACCTGCTTCCCCTTGCCAACATACAGGACAACAAAGTTGGTGCTGGTGTTGTAGCCATTGTCTCTGTTTTTCAAATAAGATAGAGAGAAGCATGGCTGTGAGTCAAAGGTACACACTCCACCTACACACCACACACACACACACCACAATGATTCTACATGGAAAACGTCTGGCGCCCAAAATTCCATTGGCCCCCCCCTTAATTTTAATTTGTCCCCCCCACAAATTAATTCTTGAATCAACCAAATTGCACTGAGAATGAGGTGAGTAAATGTACATGGCATACTGCTTTGCCTTCTCAAGCACAACAAACCACTCTGAACCCTCTGCTGACATGATGATGATGATGGTGATGCATCTTTGACTGGAATTGTGAGAAAACACCACTGGCCTGTGCTGCAAAAGAAAACAGGCTGGGAAAAAAATGGCAAAAGCAAAAAAAAATTGAATTAATTTCTGGCGTTGGTGCTTTGCCTGCTGCGCCAAGGCGCTCAGGCACTGCTCTTTCTGTTTCCTGTTAGTCCCCCCCTTTTTCTGGTGCTGATCATCACCAGCATGCAGTCAGCAGCAGTTTTTGACACAGTTGGCCCAAGTCAACAAGCAACTCAGTGCAATTCCTGTCCTTTGGAACTGCCACTCTCAACCTGGCCTGGATGAAGTGCTTGCAGCTTCTGAAAAGCAGTCCCCCTCAGCAGCAGGTACTGCTCAACCCCCAACACTGTGTCTGGAAAAAGGTGCCAGTGGCACCTTTTGTTAAGTAAAATCTGTACAAGTGATATATGTGTATGTGCAGCGAAAGCAGTACTTTTGTGAACATGGTGTGTGAGTGGTTTTGGCAAAATATGTACAGAGAGTGGCAAAACAGGGAAAAATGGTGTAGGTCATGGTAAAAGCAGATGGGGCCAATGATGAATTTCAAGGCATAAGTGTAAAAAAGGGCTAATGTATTTTGTTGGAATGAGGAACAGAACAGAGTGGAGGGAAACATTAGCCAATGGACTTCTGCACTTTCCGTGGACTGGAAGAGGAGGAGGAGCTGGTCTTGGGTGTGAGAGGGGCAAGGGCAGGATGTGAAGTTAGGCCTTGTAGGAAGGAAGTGATGGCTGTGAGATCTGACTCCTCCAGGAATTTAGAGTGGAAGGTGAGGAGCCAGTTG